GCAAGCTCCATTCCTTGATTGATGGCCCAAAGCTCAGCCTTTGGTGCCGTACACGATCCAATTTTGAAGACAAAACCACTTTGCCAGCAACCTTGATCATCACGAAGTAAACCTCCAACCCCCGCAGGTCCTGGATTGCCATTCGACGTTCCATCAACGTTTAGCTTCATCCAACCCCTTGGCGGGGCCTCATCCTATTGCCTTTGTCACTCGTTCTACTGGAGACTTGTTGCGGTTGATGCCGATAGGTGGAGACAACCATGCTTGAAACCACAGTTTTGCCTTGATATTTATAGCATGGAGAAGTGATGATGGAGAGAGGGTCTTTGATGGGCCCTTGAAGCAGCCATCATTCCTATTTCCAAAGGAGCCAGAGGACAATGCTGAAATATGCAGGCCATGGTATATCTTCAGGACCATGGGAGTTGTCGTTGAGATTAGTTTGCAACCAGTCATCAAGGGGGGCCATGAAGAAAGTGTGAAGCTTGGCAGCTGGAACTATGCGTGACCAGAAGTACATGGCTGGCCCACAGTCTGGGAAAATGTGAAGTGAGGTTTCTGGGTGTCCGTAGCATTTGTAGCAGTTTGGGGAATCAGAGATGTGTCTTGCGAATCTACTGGAGTTGGTGTTGAGTTTGTTGAGGAGGACGAGCCACATAAAGCTACGAATGCGCTCGGGAACCGGCAGGGACCAGATAGTCTTCCATATTTGTTGTGGCGGTTGAGAGTTTGCTGAAGAAGTGAGTGACAAGTAGTAGGCTGATTTGGTGGAGAAGGTTCCATTTGTCGTGGGGTTCCAAAACAGGGTATCATCCTCTGAAGTTAGCTTGTCTACTGCAACGGCGATGATCTTGGCTTGAACTTCAGGAGAAAAGAGATTGGTAAATTTGTGAAGTAACCAACAACCATCATCATTGTGGTAATCCGCCACTCGATCATTACGAAGGTTGTCAGGCACTTGGTTGATTGCAATTTCAAGAAGGGGTACCTGCGATATCCACGGATCAGTCCAAAAATGAGTTGTCCTACCGTTATGAGTGTTCCAAGCACATCCCTTACGCAGTAGGGCAGCTTCTTTGGTAAAACTATTCCAGGTAAATGAACTTCCCTGTACTTGGTGGATGATTTCCAGATTTTCTCGAGTTCCTCCGTATTTAGTTCGCAGTACTTGAGACCATAGGGAATCCTTCTCTTTGATTGTACGCCAACATACATATGCGAGCATAGAGAGATTAACATGGCGAAGAGATCTTAGCCCCACTCCGGCTTGTTCTTTAGGTTCCAACATCTTTTTCCAAGCAACCTGTGGCACCCGCTTCCTCGTATCCGACCGATCCCATATAAAGTCCATGTTAAGATGGTCAATGGCATTGCACACAGAAACAGGAAGCATCTCAGTTTGCATAGGAAAAATAGGAATGGAAGAGGATATTGATTTTGCCACGGTTAGTCTAGTTGCAAGGGAAAGGTGGCGAGCTTTCCAAGGAGCAAGCTTTTTTTGGATTTTGATCACTAGCTTTGGATATCTAGCCTTCGTGACTCTGCCATTAATCGCTTGAATGCCGAGGTAGCGTTCAATGTCCATCGTTAAGTGAATCCCTGCTCTATCGCTTAGTCATGAAGCTTTGACCCTAGGGATGTTGGAAGAGACAAACATTGAGGATTTGGAGAGGTTCACTGTTTGTCCTCAACTGTTGCAGAAAGAGTCAAGACAATCTTTGATAATAGTAATCTGAGACAATTCTGCTTCTGCAAACAAAATCAAATCGTCAGCAAAGAAAAGATGAGACAACCCAGGGCCATTAAGAGACAGTTTCAGTGCTTTCCATCTCTTGTCCTGAATAGCCTGGTCAATTTTGTGAGAAAGGCGTTCCATACAAAGGACAAAAAGATAAGGGGAAAAAGGGTCTCCTTGACGAACGCCGCGAGTCGGGGTGAGAGGTTGAGACAACTCGCCATTCCAGGATAGCCTCATACTGTTGTTTTCTATGCAGTACATGATGCAGCCAATCAATGAACTTGGGAGCCCAATCTCCTTGAGGGTGTCTTGTAGGAATTCCCACCTAAGGTTATCAAAAGCTTTTTCCAAATCAATCTTAATTATCAAACCACCTTTCTTCCCTTTCTTCTTTCGGAGAGAGTGAAGCACCTCCTGAAGTATAATTATATTGTCTGTCGTTTGTCATCCGGGGATGAAGCTGCTCTGTCTTGGGGAGATAAGTTTTCTCATGAAGGGCTTGAGCCTATTGGTGATGGCTTTAGTAATAGCTTTCATACAAACATTGTTTAGTGAAATCGGGCAAAGTTGGGCTGTTGTCTCGGGATGGTCTACTTTTGGGATGAGCACTACTGTTGAGTCAGAGGCAGAGGGCGGAAGAGAACCTGTCTCAAAAAAGTAATAGCCATATTGGTTTGAGAGTTCCCTACTATGCTCCAAGTTTGTTGGTAAAAAACAGCTTGGAATCCATCCGGTCCTCGGGCTTGGAAGGGCTTCATTTCATGTATTGCTTTGAAAATGTCAATCATAGTGAATGGTCGTAGCAAACTTAGAGCTCTCCATGATTTAATCAAGGAAAAGCTCCCTTGGGCATCATGTCCGAATAAGGCGTACCATCCTGTGAATAGAGGTTAGCAAAATAATCGAAAACAAGAGAAGCAAAGGCTTTTGGTTCACAAACCCAATTCCCGAATTCATCCTTCAAACTTTTGATTTTGTTTTGCCTGCGCCGAATAACAGTCTGATGGTGGAAATATGACGTATTTCTGTCGCCTAGTTTGACCCATTTCTCTCTCGATTTTTGGTACCAAAATACCTTTTCTTGCTCCATGATCTTGTTAAGCTCAGCCTCAAGCTTCCTTAGGAGTTTAACCAGGCCAACATTAAAGCATTGTGATAGCCGGGTTTGAATTCCCTGGATTCTTGCTAGGAGGCGTCTCTTCTGCTGAAAAATGTTCCGAAAGGTCGTGGAGTTCCATTGTTGGAGTTTGGATGAAAGAGTTTGTAGAGCCTCTGAAAAGGGAGGACGAGAGTCCCACGCACCTGTAAGGAAGTCGGAGAAAGTGTTGTGAGAAAACCAGGCAGCTTCAAATCTAAAGGGACCAGGGAGAGAGGAGAAAGAGGCTTCTTGGCCGATCACTGTGGTGAGGATGGGATGGTGGTCGGAGTTTAGGCGGGGGAGATGATGCAAGGTTGACGCCGGGAAGGTGGAATTCCACGCATTATTGCAGAGGGATCGATCTATTCGGCTATCTTTATAGGAACTATTGCTAACCCCTCTAGTCCAAGTGAAGCATGGTCCTGAAAAGCCTAAGTCGATCAATTCTGCCCTGCTAATTTGTTCATTAAAAATTCTGCATTTTCCGAGAGTATTAGCCGAACACAGCTTTCTCATCGGGAGACCGAATGGCGTTGAAATCACCACTACGGAGCCATGGGATTTGTATGTGGCGGCTAGCTTCGGTTATGGATTGCCATAGAGCTGGTTGAAATTTCTGGTGAGGAGAGGCGTAAACCGATGTCAGAACCCATGGTGGAGCCGAGTTGGTTGTGATCTTAGTGCGGTGTTGTGGGCTTGCTGAAATAGTTTGAACTTTAAATTTCTTTTTGTCCCAGCAAAGCCAAATTCCCCCCATTCTGCCATTTGCTTCGATTCGAATAACATCTGGAAATCCAAACTTACTGCAAGTAGTATTAGCTGAATCCCCACTAATTTGTGGTTCCAAGAGTATTAGAAAATCAGGTTTATGAAGTTGGATAGTGAGTTTAAGTGAAAGAAGGAAAGCTCTACTTCCTGCGCCACCAACATTCCAAGCTAGAACTTTAAACAATGTATTTGTAGACATATATAATGTGTAAAATAAAAAGAGGAAATGGGGGGAAATAAGATAAAGAATGATATCACCGGGGAACATCTGTTGTTGATGCTAGGGTTGACAGGTTTGTCATTGTCGTTGATGTCGTCGTCTGATCCGCCATTGTTGGGGATTCAGTTGGTGATTGTTCTACGAGAGCGGGAACATCATGGGCAAACTCCTTGAGAGACCATGTTGTTCCAAGCGTCAATCTCTTGTAGAGTGATTAGAAGAGTGCGCTCGCGATTCTTGACTTTCTTCTCCAACTTTGGTGTCCATATTTGAAGCGGTTTGTGTCCCATACCAACATTGATTCCTTTTTGTAGTTGGAGGTTTTGGTTTTTCTGATTCTTCATTATAGTGCAGTTTGAGGGTGCATTTGGGTCTGAAGCTCGAGTTTTGGAAGGTTCTAAAGGAGGGACTTCAATGATTTGAATACTTGTTCCATTAGGCCCGGTCATTTTGAGGGTGGAGAGGGCCATTTGGATTGGTGCAATAGAGGAGGAAATTTTTGGTTCACCTTTAGTCAAAGTGGAGGTCATGTTTGGGATAGGTGGGGCGCCTAATAATCCCTTTCCTGGAGCAAAATGGGGATGGAAAGTAAGTTTGATGTTTGATGTTTCAGTTTGCGGGGTGTGGGAATCTACGTGAGTGAGAGAGGTAGAGGATTGAGTTGGGTCATTTGGGCCCAAGCTTGATTGGCCCAATGGTTTGAAGACTAGGGTATTAGATGGAGGAGTGGCAGTGTTATTGTTTGGAGTAGGAAGGGGGATGGAGGCAGCCGTCTTCCCGTTGAGAGTCAAGGATGGGTAGGAATCGTATGATCCTTTTCCAATCTGATTTTTTCCTTGAGCGATTTCTTCCGTTGAGATTTGTGGGTGAGAAGCTTTGGATAGAGCATGGGGCCGGCTTGAGACGGCATGGGAGCTTCTGGCAGATCGAGGAGGCGGCACATGTGAGAATTGAGATACTGACTTTCTCTCTCCTCTGCATCTGGTCTTCTTTGGAATCAAAGACGGTATGGGAGGGCGGTGTCCGGTTGGTCCTGTCGGCGGAGGTACCCGCGGGTGGAGCTCGGGTCGACGACACGCCGGCGTTGTTCATCGGAGTTTTGTTCCTGTTCACTCGCCTTGATTTTGTATATGCAATCATCCACGGGCCAAATCCCGATTCTCTCGTGGTAGCTTCAGATTGATGAGCTGTGGAATCTCGAGTGTTGAGTTGTTGTTGGGGTAATGGAGATGGATTGCTTGGTGTGAGCGGAAGGTGACTTTGTTGTTCTGGGGGAGTTGTGTTGCAGAGTGGTTGGGTGTTGTTGGGATTACAAGTGCATCATCAAGACAGTCCTCTTTTCGATGACCAATTCTCCCACCGGTAAAACAAACATTGGGCAGATTTTCATACTCCACCGTTTGTTTGCAATCATCAAGATAAAATTCTGGGATAAGAGGCATAGAGACATCTATTTCAATTGCTATTCTGGCGAATTTACCTCGTTGAGCAGATTGCGTGTGGTAATCAATTTTGATTAATTTCCCAATCATGTTGCCGATAGCTGTGAGGATGCTGGTGTGGTAGTACTGGATTGGCATAGCCGGAAAGCGCACCCAAACGATCAACGATGGTGGAAGCTTCTCGGTTATCCGAAAGGTTGGAGTCCATTTCCTCACCACAAGATAGTGTTCAAAGATGGTCCACGACCCTTCACTGTGTGACTTTGTGTAGTCTGCTGCGTTGGATAACTTAATCATGAAATAGCCTTATTCAAGATCCACGATTTGCATAGCTCCCACAGGCTTCCATAAGTATTTCAGGCGGGAGCATAGGCTTAGGTAGCCGTTAGGTTACCCAAGTAAGTTGACGACAACGGTTTGGTGCCATGGAGCACATATTTGGCGTTGAAGTTGAATGGAGACACAAACAGATAGCTTGTTGGCCCGGGTGCCAATGGTTATGCCTTTGTCGTTTGGTACTATCTCCGGAGATGCTGGCATTCTTGCGATGGTGGCCCTTGTTCCACAGCCCTCTTGTACTAAAGAAGTGGTATGGCAGGTTGGTAAACAGGAGATGGAGTAGCATCCATGAAATCTTGGGCTGTAATAGCTGGCGAAAGAAGTGGGGGAAAGTGAAAAGAGCGGTTTGTGGAGGTAGATTCTGGTGGTTTTGCTGGGGGAAGTGGTGGAAGGGAGGAACTGGCCGGCGTTGCCGTCAGTGAAACCATAGCAGTTTTGTGTGTTTTCCTTAACTATAGTGTCCAGCTCTCGTTTGTTTTCGTTTCTATGGAGGTGATAGTGGTCGGGTATGCCAATGTCAGTATATAATAATTCTATCCAGTTCAATATATGAATGAATAATAATCTTATGATTGCTCTGTCACGCAGGCCACAGTGCCTAGGAGTCTGGCCTTTGGATTTGGCCACATATAATCATCCGTGTACATAACGTAGCATATAACAATAATAAATATTATAATTCTAATGCCAAAATAAAATTGACACCTATCAGTTGTCTTGCGAGGAAATTCTCAAGTGGAATCTTAACTGGACAAAGTAATTTCAAGGTTAATATTTATTATGGTTCGAATTATACCTAAATAATTAACTTTGATCAGTGATTTCAGAAAATTCTTTCCTAACCTCAACTATACATTATATAAACTACTTTAATGGGATGCGTAAATTTCCATAAAATTAAACGGTAACTATATTGACCGTTAATGAATCAGCATATAGTGCTGATGTGGATGCCAGGTAGATAATAGAAATTAATAAAATATCAATAATTTAATAAAATCAACAAAATAAATTAACAAAATCCTCTTCTCTCACCGCTAAACCCTTCTCTTCCGGCTGATTAGAAGAAGAAGAGAGTCGATTCAAAAGATTACAACCCAGAAGAAAAGACTTCAAATTGGTCAAAGTTGAGGAAAGTAATCGGTAACTCTCCGGAAACAAGGGATAGAATTTTCTTAAGCAACAAATTGGGAAGAGTATACAGAAACTGAAACCTGCGACTAAGGATGAAGGCATCAAGCTTTTAAAACTCCTTCAATCCATAAAAATGATGCTTGCTTTAGCTTTCACCGCTAGACCCTTCTCTTCCGGCCGATTAGAAGAAGAGAGCCGTCGCAGTCGATTGACCGAGCTGCCGCTGCCGAAACCCAGAAAACCAAAAGCCGACCGCTGTCGAAATCCCCGACGATTGGCCTTCTTCCCCTCAGCCCTCAGCCGCGGGAACGTCATCTCCGTCGCCAGTCGCCTAGCCGTCGCCCCGTCGATTCAACCCAGTAGCCTTACCTGTCGCCTTGCCTTGCCCTCCTTGAACACGAAAATCTGCCACTTTGGGGCGGCGCAGCTGTGCGGAGGGAGGAAACCTAGTTTGAAGATCACGACTCTAGGAGAGAAGGGGAAAATCAAACCAATTCAATGAAAGTGGTCTAGTAATTACATACATGTTGCATCAACATTGCAATCAGCAAAATTACCATGATTGCCTTTGGTACGTAGCTTAACGCTTCTGCTGAACAAGAATAAGAATATTGTAACTTGCGCAAAGCTTTAACCCATTTTGTGTTATGGCTTGGCGTTTGGTTTTCTTGCATGGTTATGTGTAGGGGTAGACATTTGGTTTTCGGTTAGCACTTAATCAACTGTTAGAAAGTAAATCAATTTTTAACGGCTAACCGAAAACCAAGTGGCAGGGGATATCGGTTGGTGGATGGAGGAGATTGTGTGATGGTCGGTTAACCGCATAACCGGTGGTGGCTAACCGTGGATAACCGGCTAACCGACCATCACCGAAACACATGTAGTAGCGGCCTCCCCCATACTTTCTATCAAAATGAAAAAAAAATCCAACAATCTTCCTTCAAACCCTAAAATAAACACCTGAATGGCCGACTCCTTCCTCAGCGCACCCCATGTCGCGTCGCGCCATCGTCCCGGACCTCCTCCGGCCGCGATTCATCCACCTACGCCCTTGATCTTCCTCGGCGACCGCCGGAGCTCCTCCTCCTTCGCGTCGTGTAGCAGTGGAGAGACCGAGAGAGTGAAGCGCGAGCAGCAGAGGAAACGGAGCCTGGCAGCTCCTCCTCCTTCTGTCGTTCCTCTGTTACCACCGCTCTGTCTTCTTCCCCGCCGCCGCGTAGCTTACCATCGAGAGAAGCAGAGGCAATTCGCCTCTCCTCCGGTCCGCCTCTCTTCGACAGCAGGCGACAAGAGCCAAAATCTCGATTGCATGACTAATCGAGCCAAAAACCGGAAACCAATCGATCTGTTGGTCGGTTAAACGTGCTTCTCTGTCGATCAGTTGTCGGATGGATTCTGGTGGTTTGGCTAAACGATAACCGGATTTTCGATTTTTTGGTTAAACTGAAACTGACCATATTCCACCTCTAGTTATGTGGTGACATTGACACCCGCCCAACCAAGTTGCTCTTACGTATCTTGGGCTACTAGTTTTCTTTCGGCTGGGCCTCAACTTACTATTCTCTTGGGCTCGGCCGCAATAAGTGTTCTCTATCTGTCATCGTTATTTGGGATTGGGACCTGCCGGTTCAATGGCAATTGTTTGGGCCTCCTGACCTTGGGAAATTGCGACGCCAAAAAGTGAAGGAGGCAGCAGAACCCATAACTGACGCGTGTTAAGCGTGTCACTCTCAAGATTCAATCCCCCGTTTCCCGATCCGCCACCTTTTCCCCAATTCAACTCCCCGACGGTCTCTCCAGTCCCAGAGAGGGAAAAGGCCAATATTCCATGCAAATCTTTGGCAAGGCGGAAGAAGAAGAAGAAGAAGCAAAAGAGAGATGGGGCTGCTTTCCAACAGGTGAATTCTAAATTCTCTCTTCGCCTTCTTTTCTATGCTTGCTTTCTGTTTCATTGCTTCTCGGTGATTTGTGTTGGAACTGAAAGTCGGGAGATTTATGGCTCCAAACAGGATCTCTAAGGACAGTTTGACACCAGGGGATCACATTTATTCCTGGAGGGCTGCTTATGTTTACGCACATCACGGTTAGCTAATAGCTTCTTGCTCTCTCATTTCACACTTCTGATTCTTAGCACGTGTCATCGCAACTTCATTCACATGGGTCGCTTTACAATTCATTACTCTGTTAAACTTTTCGTTTGGTGACGATGAGAGTGAGACAATGCTCAACTGATACGCTGGCCGTTGGTGCTTTAGCGGATTCAAACTTCTATCATCTGTTCTTACTTAGTGTTGCATTGCCCAGTCGCCTGCTGTCCCATCCATCCGTATGATCCATTTCAACATTGCTTCTTAATCATATTAGTTGGGTGCTCCATTTGCACTTCTGCTCGTAGTTTGTAGTGTTGTTAGGAGCTTAGGGAAAGTGTTCTTCCCTTCTGTGTAACTCTGTCTCTGTGGCGTAGTTTAGTAGGTACCATTCTCAATGTTGGTGGTTTCTGCCCATGCCATCTTAGATGGTATATTACATGCTGAGTTTTAGTCACTTCACTGTTACTCTCGTCACAATAATGACCCACAACATTCGGCTTAATGAATCATAGGAACTGTCTATCTAGTATTTTCCAGGTTTTATTGTGATCTTAAGTTCTTTTACCCCTGAATTGCGATCAGGTATCTACATTGGAGATGATAAAGTAATACATTTCACTAGACGTGGCCAAGAAGTTGGAACTGGAACCGTACTCGACTTTCTTCTAGTCAGCTCAACCCCCAAAACACCTCTAATCCCTTGTCCGATGTGCTCTCCACGTGAAGAAGCCGGTAACAATGGAGTTATCCTCTCCTGCATTAACTGCTTCCTCTCCGGCGGCAACTTGTACCGGTTCGAGTATGTCGTCAACCCTGCTCTCTTCCTTGCAAAAGCTCGTGGTGGAACTTGCACTCGCGCGGTCTCTGACCCAGATGACGTCGTTGTCCATCGTGCGAAGTTCCTCCTGGAGGAAAATGGGTTCGGATGCTACAATGTGTTCAAGAACAACTGCGAAGACTTCGCTATCTACTGCAAGACAGGTCTTCTCGTCTTCATCAATCAGACCACAATGGGCCAGAGCGGTCAGGCTGTGTCGTATATAGGAGGCCCACTCGCTGCGGTCTTGTCTACTCCTGTGCGGCTTGTCACCACGAATGTCTATGGTATGGCAGCAATGGCTGTGGGGGTTTATTGTATCAGCAGGTATGCTGCTGATATCGACATCAGGACGGATGCAGAGAAGGTCAATGTTGAAGACTTGACAAGTAGGCTTGCTGCTGGGCTGGTCCAGGTGGTTGAACCGCAGATTGTGCCGATAGAGAGTCAAGAAGGACTGCACATTAGCTCCTGAAATTGCGTTGGTCTTTCTCATGTCGTATGTTTGAGGAAATAAGATTGATTCTGGAATTATGAAGATCGAATTAAACAGTGTGTGCCTCTGTTCTCTGTGTTATTTCTTATGAAGCTGTTACTGGCCTCCTGCAGTCGAATATTGATTATCTGGGGCTTGCAATGCATTTGATTTATCGTTAATCCAACTGTTTTGAATTGTTTTATCATGTCGAGTTGACTCAGGATTACGACATCACCATTTGATCATGTAGAGTTGACTCAGGATTTTGACATCACTGTTTTATCATGTCGAATTGACTCAGGATTTCAACAACACTGCTAGTACAGTAGTACATAAATAGAGCGAATTAGTGTCACCAGTAATCCCTACATGAACAAGTACCATCTTTAAACCGATGAAACCTAACCCTATCCCTAACAATAATCTCCCTATTGTACATCTTCGATATGAGTTTAATCACAACGTGACAATCCCCACAAATCCTCAGATTCTTGATCACTTGAATTGGTCTCGCTTCATCCTCTGCACATATCAACCCAAATGCTACAGCAAGCTTCTCACTGTGCTGATACAACGCATTCTCCTTCTCTTCATCTCCTATATCATGCAACACAAAGCTCGTCTCAGCTGCATATCCAAACTCCTTCATCTTGAACCTGATTTCTTCCAACTTGCCATAGATCTGCTTACAGTGCTTATGCGCCTTATCGGCATTATAAAACTTGTGAATTACACCCTTCTCTTCAATGTAGCTAAATCCAGGAGTTTTTCTCACATCCTTGCTCTTCATCACGTCCCTAATCCTCCCCACATCAGCCCATCTCTCATGTGCAGCGTAAATGTTTGACAGCAGGACGAAATTGCCGTCGCTAGTAGAGCCCATCTCCACCAGTTTCCTAGTCACCATTTCAGCCATGTCCACGTTCTTGTAAGTTTTGCAAGCGCCGAGTAAAGTCTGCCAGAGAACCATGTCAGGCAGCATCGGCATGGAGTCGATGACATAGTAAGCCTGCTGGAGGCGCCCAGCTCGCCCTAACAAATCAACCACACTGCCATAGTGTTTCACGTTAGGTGTTAGCCCCAAGCTCTGCATAGAAGTGAATAATTTGTAGCCTTCATCCACTAACCCGGCATGGTTACAAGCACAGATAGCTGCAAGGTACGAAACTTCATCGGGTTCCATCCGGACAGAGGGACCCATTTGGTGGAAAAGCTGAAGAGCCTTATCTCCATCACCATGCATGGCAAAAGCCATTATCATGGTGTTCCAAGTAACAAGACTCTTGTCGCAACTCATTGTCTGGAAAACTGAATACGCCTTGTCGACAAATCCACATTTAGCATACATGTCTATCACTGCGTTACATACCTGCACGTTCCCATCCAATCTCTCGCTTCTTATATAGTCGTATATCTTGTCCCCTTCTTTAAAAGCGCCCAGCTGTGAGCAGGCAGAGAGCCCGCCAAGGACAGTGATCTCGTTCGGCTTAAACCCATCAATCTCAATCCTTTTAAACAAACCCAAAGCCTCATCCGGCTTCTCCCCCTGAGCCAACCCAGAGATTAACGCGTTCCACGACGCGATATCTCTCTTTGCCATTTCATCGAACACCTTCTGTGCGCTCCCGATGTCCCCTGCTTTAGCATACAAATCCAACAACGTGGTACCCAACAGAGCATCGGCAGAGAAGCCTTTACGCACGACATGGGAGTGGAGCTGGAGCGAGTCGGAGAGAGCTAGAACGCGAGCGCAAGCTTTGAGAACGAATGAGCAGGTTAAGGCGTCGATTCTGTAGGAACCGCGGAGCATGGATCGGTACCATAGGAAGGCGTCGGAAGGTGAGGGCCCGATGATGAGACCCCGGAGAATGGCATTCCAGTCATTGGTGGAAGGATTGGGGATTTGGGAGAAAGTGCGGATGGCGAAGTTGAGATGGTTGAAGGTTAATGAGTAGAGCTCGAGGAGCTTGGATCGCGGTGGGCAGATGTTGAGGAACTTGAATTGGCCGGTGGTGATGAGAAGGGATTGGATTTGGTTGAGGTGGGAGAGCGCGGTGCATTTGGATAACAGAGACTCGAGGAGTGAGCTTGCCATTCATCCATTGGCCGTCCGACGGAGAATGGAGGGAGCCGGGAAGACGTTGTCCCGCTCCAAATGCAATTGGTATATGCCCTGAGGGCTGAGAGTGACTTTCACTTAATGGGCCCAGCTTTGTATTCAATCATCAGGCAGAGATGAGCCATCCCCACTTCAACACATTGACGGTCAGGTCAGCCCTCAAACCAGAGATGAGCCACCATTAGTAAATACTCCATTCAGTAGGGGTGTTCAAACGGTTTGGTTACCATGGTAATCGTTTTAACCAGTATTATTTGGATAATTTGATCTGGTTAATTTGGATAATTGGTTTGGTTTGGTTAAAGTTTTTAGCTTGTTTGGTTTAGGTGGTTTGGTTTGGTTTCAGACACTCCTAACCAGTCAAACCAAATTAACCAGTTAAGTAATTAGTCATATATCTAACATATATTATATACACATACTTAATACTTTGCATAACCACTCAAGAGTTAACGTTCATCCCTTTTAGACTCATAAAATATAAAGCTCAATATTGCTCATATAGTGTATATTTGTATATGTAAAATGTAGACCACAACATATGGACGCCTAATTTAGATAAATTTCATACATTATGATGGATGAAAACTTGAAAGGAAGGTCATTTCGAGCCTATGATAATTGCTAAGAGACTAGGTCAATTTACACAAACACAACAGTTCATTAACCCATACCATTGTCATAAATTTTTGTTAGGTGAATACTTCTCTACTAATCGTAAGATAATTGTCTTAGTTGCATGTATTTTTGTTAAGGGTCAACTATAACTACGTGTTGATTGTTATGTTTTATTCATTATATAAATTCCGAATTGTTGTATTAACCGGAAAATTTTCATCGTCAATGATAATATGATTTTATATTGGTTAATCTGGTTAACCAATTAACCAAACCGATTAATCTTTAGTTTGGTTAATTTGGTTGTTGTATTAGTTTGGACGGTTTGGTTATGATATTGTATTTCATGGTTAATGGAATTTAGCCTTATTTGGTTTGGTTATAACTATGGTAACCATTTGAACACCCCTACCATTCAGTACTAGAGCATGGTCCGTACCGGAGATCGTACCGGAGATCGTATCGGTAAAGTCAGCGGTAGAGTATTTTATGATAAAATCGTGGTTTAACCGTAATTCAACCGTTATACCGGTAAATACCACCTACCGGTTTAGCCTCCAATACTGGTATTTCGTGGTTGAACCGCCAATACAGTACCAACCATGCTTCTCTGACTCACCTTCGAATCCTCAAATCCAACTCACTCCCTAGCCCGCTCCCCCAATTCCCTCTCCAATTTAAGTACCCTCAGAACTTCTCTCTTGTCCCACAACAAATTCTCGAGGGAATTTCCTCTCCCTACCCTCCCCTCTCACTCGAATCTCGCGAAGGCTTGCCTCTACACCAATCTCTATGAGATTTATGGCTTACGAGGAAGTAGAAAGGCAAAGCGGCCAATCCCGTCGCGCCTTCCAATCTCACTGTCCCTTCAGATTGCAGAGTTTGCCGCACATGCTGACTACCGAACCGCGTCGCCCCGCCTGTCCTCCAATCTCTCTAGAATGAAGGTTCACGAGGAAGAAGAAAGACAAAGCTGAGTTACCGATCGACTGCGAAATGAAATGTAGAGTCAGTCCAACTCGCAATTTGCAAACCAACAAAACGTCATACAAAACGAGGACACTTCTTTTAATTTCTAGATTTAGGATTCCGGTTGGACCACCCGGAATTCTCGGTTTTGACCGACATTAATTACGCATCATTCCCGTAGCACTAGCCGTTTCATAACCGACACCGTTACACGAAATTCAATCGCCCAGGCTGCCTAGCATCACACAACCACAGCAACCATGCTCTCCATCGCTACAGGGACGAAACTACTCCGCTTTGCTTTCGTTAATCCCAACAAGAGACCTCTTGATTCACCTTCCACTGCTGTACATATTTGAACATGCATGCCCAAGGTTGCTCAGAAAACGGGGTCGAGACGATTACATAAATAAGAAACACAACTACACAAGTACTCAGGATTCAGGAAGCTCGAGAATCACCAGAATGAAAAGGCCGCAAAACTGCATACTGCATTGTCGATACAAAATCCGCCTACAACTGCACGTTAGGAAAACTGCACTTCATAGACATAGGCAAAATGGACTCCGCACTCGAGAGTCGCAGCAAAGGAAAAACGTCAACAGTTCCCTTAATGGTGCAGCATCAACCATCATCTACTCGCTAGTATCTTATATCCTCTCTTACACTAGAAGAACAGCATTTATACAACCATCGTTCTCAGGGTTATTAGTCACTTGGGCATATTTTCCTGCATATCAGAACGAAGGGGGATCAGCTAACTGACCACCAGGATCAATATAACTAATGGCAAGGACACTTACCCCAAACAACTTTGCCACCTGGTGTAACAAGACCTAATTCACTCACGTTGACCTGTTGTTCAGAACAACATACCATTAGATTCTCCATGGAAACACTTTTCAACAGTCATACAGAACAAGCAAAAAGCATGTTTAAGGGAAGGGAGATTACCTCAATGATTGTTCCCTTGGTCATGACTCCAAGGGATGTATACATGGGCCCATTAGGATTTTTCTTCACCCCGATGATTTCGAGATTGAAGGTGCATTTTAGCTCAGGATGGGTAACATGGGCCTTGGTGAAACGCAATCCAGATGGACGGATGAAACGCTCATACTTTGGAGGCTTTCTTGTGAAACCCGGTCCAACGAATGTCGCCTTGGTCACCATTCTTTTCCATTGCTTGGCTAGAAAATTACACAGAGGTACATGATCAGTCGACTGGAAAGTTCAGTTGCATATAGTAGTTAAAGCAACAACATAGTGCAACGAGGCTTACTCTTCCTTTTTCCTGATCTAAGCACTTTGAACATCTCATCTTCTGCAACAGGCCTCACCTGAAGGTAGCCAATACATCTAGTTTAGAATAGCTGGCATAGAAGGGAAGCAATAATCATAGCCAATCAAAACATCTATCAAAGTAGATACCTTTGGCAGAGGGACTTCCCACTTTCCTGCCTTCTCTTTCCTCTTCTGCTTGATGGTATTGCTAAGAATCTACATAACACAAAGAAACGAGAACTTTGAATAAAAAGAGAAAGCCACAAATGCGGAATTTACATGAACCAATACAGGAAAAATGCTTCTTACTTTTGCACGAGTTGTATTCTCACGATCCAGCAGATAGGCAGGAACAGCTCCTTCCTGAACCTCATCATCAACCTTACGCCTAGATGATGACTCCTCGTGCATTTTCAATCTATCAAAGAAACAAAAGTTTAGCCACGAGAACATCTGCATATCAGGACAAAATTGAATCTGGAAAGACAGACCAGTTGCCAAATTCATGCTCAGGTTGGCAATCTGAATACAGAGTTAGAAACTTAGACTAATTCACACACACTGACCAAACAGGATATCGACCAGAAAAGGGTTCTAATATCAACATATTCCATACCTTAGTGGTGACGAAACCACAAGACAAACTGAGCTTCAAAAGAGTTGATCAATGCACAGAACAAAAACTGGTTTACATAGCATTTCACAATTTATCAACAGCCACTCATATTTGCCCTAGAACATGAATCCTTGCAAATAAACGTTAAACCAGCCATAGCCTAAGTATTCAGGAAGAGCATCAACATAGTTTTACAACTAAGACGGAGAGAAAGATTCCAATAAGAGGGGAACAATTCAACTTACGTTCTTTTCATTTGAACCTTCTCCTTATAGTTCTTCTTGGCAATCATCTTGCCCTTGATACCGAGCGACTTCTGCGCCCGTTCGGAGTGCTTGTGAACCTCACGAGCCTCCTTCTTGCGCTTCCGCTCGAAATGGTCGAGACGGTAGCCATGCCTCTTCCTGTGCAGCTCGATGTAATCACCTTGCGGCTGTAGAGCACGGAACAAGAAACCAAACTCGTCAGAAATCAAATCGAACTACCGTATTATCACGAGGAAAATCAAACCATAAACGGAATTGGCAGGGACGAACCATGATGGCTTTGTTTCGGAATCAGTTTACTGGAGAAACTCAGAGCGGAAACGGGGAGAGATGAAGAACCCTAGTTCCGTTGTATGGAGGGGTTTTGTTTGGGTTTGGTTGGTCGGGTTGGTAAGACGTCGGTTAAGCGATACGGATCGGTATAACTATTAGCGGACAACGAACTGGGTCGGTGGTTTGCGTGACTGATAGGTAGGAGGGATGGCAAAAATATCCGTAACCGTGGATATCCGCCCGAATCCGGCCTAGTCAGGTAGGGTAAAACCCGAACCTGAAGGATATTTAGTGGGTACGTGTAAAACCCGAACCCGAATACTGCGGGTAATGGGTGGGCATGGATTTCTCACTATCCGACCCGAACCCGCCCGATTATACACATGCATATGTATTTTGTCTAGAAATAATTATTATTTTTCTCTAACATATTTTATATTTAGCATATAAATATAACATTTTCATGAAATTGTGTTGTTTTAGTTAATTTTCTTCATTCTAGTGAATTCTTGTCGTACTTTTTCTCTTACTTAATATAAGAATACGTGTGAATGTTAACATATTGGTTGGAGTTATGAAGAGAAATTAATATCCATGGATAACCGTGGATACCCGAAACCCGAACGGGTATGGGCATGGTTTTAATTTTCTACCCGTTTCACATGTGGGTATGGGTATGGGTAAAACCCGAAGTACTTTGGGTAGGGTAACGGATATGCACTATCCGCCCCCGACCCGACCCATTGCCATCCCTACCTAATAGGTAGAGGTGTCAATCGGGCGGGTTCGGTTCATTCGGGTTGCGGGTCGATCGGGTTGCGGGTTCATCGGATTCGGGTTGATCGGGTTGCGGGTTACTCGTTTTACGGGTCACTCGGGTTGCGGGTCAATCGGGTTACGGGCCAATCGGGTTGCGGGCCAATCGGGTTGCAGGCCAATCGGGTTGCGGGTCAATCGGGTGCGGGTCAATCGGGTTGCGGGTTGGGCGGTTCGGGTTGCGGGTTTTACGGACTAGAACATCGCGTTACTAATTAGAAAAATTGTTGTGAGTTCAATTGTAACTTTACTCGATAACATATAATTTGTACCAATTAATCACAGGGAGCCCCTTTACTAATACCAAATTTTGTCACACACAACATCCAAAAAATCTCATTTAGAGACGGGAAGTACACCTGTATAAACAGTATTTGCCGTGACAAAATCATTTCCCATGATTAGATGTCAAACATTAGTCACATTATTTGATTGGTTCACCCATGTCTATATATTAACAATTGATCACGATATTCTACTATAGCTAATTATAAAATCACTAATCACAATATTTTGTCTATTAATATAAGTATGGAATTATAACATTAATATGCGCATGAAATTATAAGATTAGTGCCAATAAAACAAATATGGCTAAATTACACGTTTGGTCACTTGAATTACATAAACATTTCACATTTGCCACCCGAATTACTTTTCTTTCTTATTCGTCACTAACTTTACGAATCGTTTCACCATTAGTCATCGGCCGTTAGTCTCCGTCTAACTCCGTTAACTCCGTCAGTTATTTGATGACGTGGCAAACGAAAATGCTGACTGGACCGTTAACTTAATTAAATATTAATATAAAAATAAAAATAATTAAAGACATCATCTCCTGAAAACTCCACCATCCCCATTGACGATTGAAACTCGAGCCTCCAGCTTTCCTTCTGACGAACCAATAGACCAGCCCAGAATCTGGTTGGCCAACGCCGACTCCCCTTCCCCATCATCCGCCGTAGCTTCTCTCTGATTTTCCGCCGATTGAATCGGGATCAGAATCCGCCGTAAGCCCAGAATGTACGCTTACGTGGCATGACAAATTATTGTATCAGTACCTGCCGTTACGTTTAATGACAGAAGTGGTGACGGTGCACCCATAATACGACTTACAAGGTTTAGTTGCAACGAAATTACGTTAAGTGGTTAACGTGCAACAATTATAAGAGTTAAGTGACACCCGGTGCAATTAACCCGGGATTTATCTCTGTTTTAGTTTTTGTTGTAATAGAAAAGTAGCAAAGACAAAGTAATGGGGGAATACAAAAGTTTTGGAATAAAGGGCGGGGAGAATTTTCTCCGTTGGGGTGAGTTTGGAGCCAAAGCTCAAACCAAATGGTTTTCCTTATACGAAAATTTTGGTAAAAATGGGGGGAAGGCCAAATTTTTGTTGAAAAAAAAGCGGGAAATTTTCTCTAGTCTTGGAGCCAAAACTAAAGGAGGATGGAAATTTGAGATTTCCCTCTTAGATTTTAGGAAACGTTTTTTTTAAAGGTAAAGTGCACATTGTTTACGGTAATTAACGGTAATTAACCATTAGTTATGGGAAATGAAACTTGAAAAATAGATCAACTAATTCCCGTCACTAAAATTATACCATTAATTACTGTATTTTTTCTAGTGACTGTTAGTGTACTTCTTAATACGACAAACATCCCCGTGAATAAATTACCGTGACTAGAGACCAATTTTTCTGTAGTGCTAGATACTATTATATTTGCGTTTATAAGATATATATATATATATATATATATATATATATATATGGAGCATTTATATTTGACTAATCATGGCCAAACCATTAATACCATATACTCTAACCATATACCCTACAAGTCGACTCTATAACCTATACCCTAACTGAATTGCTATTTATAGCCCTAGCTTTTTCTTATTTATAGCCCTAAGAGAATGTAATTACTATTTTACCCTTCCTTCCTTTTAAAATATTGAACTTGTTACAACTCCAACCAAACACTCCCTTCCCTACCAATTCACCTCGCCGGATTCCTCCCAGATTCCTCCCAAATATTCTCGCCGGCGACGACGAGCTCTCGCCGGCGACGACGAGCTCTCGCCGGCGACGACGAGCTCTCGCCGGAGACGTGACTCGCCCCATCTCTCCTGTCGCCGGTTTCCTCTCAAATACGACGACCACCTCTCGCCGGAGACGACGACCTCTCGCCGGAGACGACGACCTCTCGCCGGAGACGTGACTCGCCCCATCTCTCCTGGCCGGACGTTTGTCCGTCGCCGGCGACGCCTGGGCAGGACGTCGCCCTCGCCGGCGGCGGTCAAACTGCCGTTGACCGGCCTTTTGACTCGCCGGCGGCGAGTCAATTTTTTTTAAAAAAATTTAGGTTATTTATTTATTATAATTATTATGATTTAATGTAGGTTAATTATATAATTTAAAAAATTACTCTAATTATCTCCTTTAATTATGTAGGTTAATTATATGCTTTAATTATTATGATTTAATGTAGGTTAATTACTCTAATTATCTATTTAAATTATGTATGTTAATTATCTTCTTTAAATATGTTAATATTTAATATATACGAAAATTATGTCGGTTAATGTTTTCATTTAATTGAAATTAGATAGGAAAGGTAAATTTTAATTGATAAATATAAGAAAGTTTAATAATTTAAATATAGAATTTTATTTCATAGTAAGTATTAATTGTTGTACGAACCTTAAATTGCAATTGACAATTTAAGCAAGAAAATTAAGTTAGAATTCATCGTGAAATACATTACAATTTTGAACATTATATTGTGATGGGAATTTTATTGTAATTGAAATTATATACGAATGTTAAATTATAATAGACAATTTAAGCAAGAAAATTAAGTTAGAATTTATTGTGAAATTCATTATAATTTCGAATATTATATTGTGATGGGAATTTTATTGTAATTGAAATTATATACGAATGTTAAATTATAATAGACAAATATACGAACCTTGAACATTTGAATATAAAAATTTATTATATGAGAACTAACAATTATCATATGAACATTGCTAATAACTATTACATGATGATAATAATCTGACAATAATTTTAATTCAAATTTTAATAGGTAGAAAATGGTGGATACAAGAGGAAAGAAGAAGTTGAAGGAGGTAGAGCCGTCGAGGGTGACCAACCGTATAGTATTGAGGTCGCGTCGTGAGGAAGCCGAGAATGAGCGTCGACGTGCTAGACTTGTGGAGAATCCTTCTCCCCCGCCTCCCGTGCCTTTTGACTTAGATACAGCTTTTGAGGGAGTGGATGAGTATGATGGCAGTGATGACAATTATGATGACTTCCCGGATGTAAATGATGCTTTCTTCGAGAGCAACCATCCGAGTGCAGGTGGTTCTAGTGGACCTAGATTAGAGCCCGAGGCTCCTTTTGTGTCTTCTTCGTCCTCTCAGTTTGTTCATGTTAGACGTGGGGCTCGTGGTCGTTTTGAGTCATCACGACCCGATTCGGAGGAGGGCAGCACTAGTAAGAGGAAGAAGGCGAGAGAAGCTGATTCGTGGATTCTCGACAGGAGTGGGCCGGGGGGGGCCTATCGATCATAGCCTGATTCCTAGTTTTGGAGGTCATGTGGCTTATCGATTATGGGATGATGGTTTAGGGGCTCGCCGAATGGATTCATTCAAGTTGTCGACTAGAGCATTGGTAGTCAATTATTTGAAAGATTACAAATTTCAGAGTGAGGGTGCTGCAGCATTGGTTGAGAGGACAGGGTTGCGCAAGTTGTTGGACTGCTCGATCCAGCACTTGGACGGACCTTTACTTGTGGCATTTGTGGAGAGGTGGCAGCCTGACACCAACACCTTTCACATGCCTTTTGGAGAGATGACCATCACGCTCCACGACGTTGCAGTGTTGCTTGGGATTCCAGTCGGTGAAGATATGGTTGTAGGGAATGAGAGTGTGAAAGCACAGTTGTGTGAGATGCTGAGGGTCGAACAATTGAATGAACGATCCAAGCCTTCGCTTAAGAGTGGGGGTTTAGTGTGTGTTGAAGCTATGCAGCAGGTTGGGAGGTTTCGGGAAAGAGATTCTGAGGTACGGATGTTCTTGACCTGTTTGTTGGGGACCACCTTGTTTGTGGACAGGAGTGGGGATCGGGCGCAGGTTTGGCCTCTCCAGTTCTTGGGGGACACTAGACGGCTGAGGAAATATTCTTGGGGGTCTGCTACACTCGCCTATTTGTATAGGCAACTCGGCATGGCGTCTCGGGCGGATTGCAAAGGCATGGGTGGCTGTTTGACCCTCCTTCAGATCTGGATCTACGAGTACTTCCCGTGTTTACGAGATCAGAAGTTGGGGACACGTGGATTGGTGTGCGGGGAACCTTTTGCTAAGAAGTGGGAGGGGGTGAGAATTGGAGGTGGGGCACAGTTGATGAATGAGAGGTTGGATCACTATCGTCGAGTACTGGATAATATGACAGATGAGTTCGTTTTTTGGTGCCCATTCGGCCCCAGACCTGGTGAGATGGTCTCTCGTTCTTTGTACTCTGGTGTCATTCGGTGCATGAGTGTTGAGGAGATGTACGATCCCTCGCGTTGCCTCCGTCAGTTTGGGTACGTACAGACCATCCCCTCAGATCCGCTTCCTCCAGTTGATGTTTGCCGATCTGCGAATGTCAAGATGTACTCCTTCTCCTACGGTCCCGGCTTGAGTGAGCTTTGGAAGGCCCCTCACTGCCACTCGGTGCAGTTGGATTCGATATCGAGACCTGTTCAAAAACCGGAAGATACCGAGGATGGGTATCTACAGTGGTATATGGGACGTACCCACCCGAGGATCGTCTGCCCCAGTGCTGCTGACCAGGAGATACACCACCATCTTAGTCATGATCAGGAAAGTTTAATTATGTTATTGATATCGTTATTCTGTACAAGTTTAAATATTGCATTAGTTATCGAATAACATACTAACATTTACATTTTTATACAGTTAGCTGTGAAGCTCGTCCGAGAGTTTCGCACTGTGATTGAGCACCCTTATGATGACCACCTTGATCTTCTTCTTGGATTACAAGGGTTGCTTAAAGAGTACGACGAGGCGACTCCATACCAGCCTCCACCTCAGTACTAGTGTTGTTCATGTAGTTTGAGTACTATGTAGTTTATTTCTATTTGGAGAACTATGTCGTTAATTTGGTGTTTGAGAACTATGTCGTTAATTTGGTGTTTGAGAACTATGTCGTTTATTTCTAGTTTGAGAACTAAATCGTTTATTAGTTGTTGGAGGACTATGTCGTTTATTTGTAGTTTGAGAACTATGTTGCTTATTTGTTGTTTGAGTACTAGTGTCGTTCATTTGATACTTTATTTGTATGTTTAGAACTATGGTAGTTTTAATTTAAAACTATGTTTACCAAAGACTACAAATATAAAGATAACATGAGTTACAAAATACTCCTTATTTACAACTATTGTCGTTATATACCAATACTACTACAAATATCTCCTACTAGTCATGATGACCCCCAAGTGCGAAGTAAAGATCTCGCTCGTCCTTGAACAACTCCTCCCACCCTTGAGTACTCATTTTGTCACGGAAATGGGTCCACAGGAAGGTGAATGGAGGCATTGGTATTGAATCCTCCTCAAAGTCAAGGCGCACCCAATGGTTGCCGGTGTTACACAACACCAACACATTGCTAGGGCGAGCTACCCCTGGCTTGGCTATCATAGGTAAAAAGGTTTGTCCAAATGGAACACGTCTCCTCACCCCATCTTTGGTTTCGTCTATTTGACTGTAGAGGATTATGGCCCAGTTAAATAATGTTGCAACTACGGCGAGATCCGACTCAGTCATCCAATGATCCATTGTAGTACCCTCTGGCTTGTTCCACTGTAATCGTGTAAGAGCAAGACCCACATCTTCATATGCGTACTCACATTGTTGGATCGACATGACTTCATCTATAATAGCCTTTCTCACCCACAAGTGGTGATCCTCATCTCCATGAAGTGCATGTGAAAGAGCTCGAAATCCGCAATGTCCATCAGGAGCAGGGTCCCACCAACCAAGACATCGATCTCTGACACTTTCTGGGACGAAGCGAAAGTAAGGAAAAACATTCACTCCGTCAATCTTGGTCATGGGATCCCTTTTCGGGCCACCTGTGGATGTAGTTTTTTTTAGTTATCTTATTGGCATATTAAACATACTTATTGAATATCAATGAATTTAACAAAACAACTCAAATTATTCAATACAAACCTGTAACATCTGAGGTTGTTGCTTTTCTCTTTTTATGGATGGTAGCATCCTTCGGGGCACCTGTTAGTGAAAATTTTGTTGTAATTAGCTTATTGGCATATTAAAAATATTTATTGAATATCAATGAATTTAACAAAACAACTCAAATTATTCAATACAAACATGTATCCTCTGAGGTTGTTGCTTTTCTCTTTTTGTGGATGGTAGCATCCTTCGGGGCACCTGTTAGTGAAAATTTTATTGTAATTAGCTTATTGGCATATTAAACATAATTATTGAATATCAATGAATTTAACAAAACTACTCAAATTATTCAATACAAACCTGTAACATCTGAGGTTGATGTCTTCCTCCTTGTGCTCCTTCTACCTTGACGTGCGGCAGCATGCTCATGCCAAGAAGGATCACGAGCGTTTTCCCTTTTAGGTGGCCGACCTTTTGCCTTCGTAGACACTCGTGGCTCCCTAAGGCCTTCCTCTTCGGGGTAAAGCTGACTCATTAATGCGACCTTGGCTGCTCGAACTGCAGATGGACCACGTCTACACACCTCAGCCACTAGATCATGAAAAATCTGAAGATCATTGGCGTCATTGTCTTCGAACCGTCTTGCATCATGAGGGTTAGCATAGTCCAAAGTAGACCAGAATGGTGCCAAGTGTGTTATCTGAAATGGTCTCCCGCTCCTTTAAAGGAGTTGATTCGACAACTGCATGGGAGCCCATGTGTCCTCCCAATCACACAATCACATTCCGAAGGAGTCTTCTTTCCCTCTACAAACATCAACTCAAGCGCATATAGGCTTACACTTCCCCTTATAACGCCGTAGGGTGGTCCATAGGCTCCTTTGAATGTCTTTGTTCGACATGTCTCTAGCTCTTTCCTAATTTCGATCACTTGCCCCCCAATGCTAGCATGCCATGATAAAAATAATGTATCAACTCCCCCAGTCGAAGTGTTTAACCAAGCTTTAAGAGTCGAGTGAGCCGATTCAACCCTATTCGTACTTGTGTTACCAATATGAAAAATATTGTTAGTGTAAGCACAAGCCCACTTCTCTTTATGCTCCAAGCACTCACGATCCAAGTATTCTATCAACTTACTATTCCTCCCCCAAAATCCATTTTTGAAATTTTCCCATTCCTCAATCATGGCATGTGGCGTGGTGGCTTCCATCACCTTCTTCCAAGAACCATGTACCACTCCTCGAGCAACTTCTTGTGGTATCCCCAAATCCATCATCTTAGCTTCAATGTTCCGCTTTATGTGCCATATACACAACAAGTGGGCCGATTTCGTGAAGACCTGAGGGATAGCGGCAACCAATCCTCCCTCCTTGTCAGTTAGAATTGCATTCGGTATGCGATCTCCAAGCATGTTCTGTAACTCTCTCAAAAGCCAAACATAAGAATCTGTGGTTTCCCCCTCCATCATAGCAAATCCAATGTTGAAGTTCCTCTTGACGGGGGTAACACCAATAACCTCAACCAGGGGCCTCTTATATTTGTTCGTCTTGTATGTGGAATCAATCAAGATTACATGGTACCAAGCACTCAACATCCGAACGGACTCAGGGTGAGCAAGAAAAAGGTGAGTAAGGTGGCGATCATCATCACGCTTGTAGCCAATGTAGTACCCCATCTCTCTCGCATGGTGTAACGTCCAATCCGAAGGGGTCATGCCACTCAATCTCTCAATCCTTATATTTGCTGTCATGTTGTAAAATTGTCGTTTGTTATGGTGAGTACCATAGTTTTGGTTGATAGTTTGCATCATTTTTCGAGGAGCAACACGAGCCCATTCCATCTCCTTCATATCCTTTAGCTCTTCATTAGTAAAAGCATTCCTCTGAGTGTGGCCTTCGGGATAAAGCTCTAATGCATGGTTGTGAAACCCACAAAATTGTCCCGGATTGTGATTGTCCTTCACACCATCAATCATCCAAGTCTTTTCCTCCGGGAGTCCCACCAGTCTCACTCGAAAACGACAACCATCTTTAAGTGACTTTGTGTTGGATCGTCCTTTCTTATCCGGATCTGGGACATATGTATTGTTCTTATATCCACGATGGCAGTGAAGATATATTCGGGGGTACTTCTCGCCATCATTTGATTTGGTTGATGAATGTGTCAAAAAGAACCCAAGATCTTTTGCAATCACTTTCGCACCTTCCATAGCTTCATTCCATGACTTATATCTTGTATTTGTTATGAAAAATTGAGTATAATCAACTTTGTCTCCTTTATCTTCCGGATCTCCCTAAAATAAACACATTTATCTTATTAGTGATACTAATTTTGAAATGTTTGTTGCAGATTAAATTATTCCAATTTGATATAGATTGAGTCTTACATAAGTTTCAACACTTTTCATGACTTGTAATGTTTGTTGTAAATTGAATTCTTACAATTTGAAAATGTATTGAGTCTTATATAAGTTTTAGAAAATTTGATGACTTGTTTGCAATATTAGATTTTATATTTATCTTCTTATTAAAAAATATTAAACAAGTTATTAACAATTATTCAATATTCGAACATAAACTAATCCAATACATTTTCAACAAAAAATTAGCACATTTAGCATGATTAACTACCAAATCCTAATATTTCAATATGCAATAAAAAGTTTTTAACAAGTAGACACGTACTCATTAAATTATCAACAACACAACGTTGTTAACAATTATTCAATATTTGAACATTAACTAATCCAATACATTTTCAATAAAAAATTAGCACATTTAACATGATTAACTACCAAATCCTAATATTTCAACATGCAACAAGTAGACACGTACTAATTAAATTATCAACAAGATAGTAAAATCAATAATTCAACATTTTTCAAACAATATGTATCATTGTAAAGCAAATATTTAAGCATATTATCAATTACTAGACTTCATCATAACAATAAATAATTCAACATGATTCCAAAATTAAAAAGTTTAACTCACTAACCGTGTTACTCATTATCTGATGTAGTGATATCCGGAAGTCCGAACTTGACCAACTTCAAGAAATACATACAAAAAAAATAGTTTCAGTAATACTAACATAGTTTCAAAATATAAAAAAAATGAAATTCAAGAAATTCATTCTAAAAATAATATTATAGCAAATCCATCCTAAAAAATATGATAATTACAATATCATAAAATAATAAACTACAATAAAATCGCTAAATATTCTTCAAAGTCTAAATTATTGTTAGTAAACATTAACTTAGTTTCAAAATAATAAAAAATGAAGTTAAAGAACTTCATTCTACAAATAATATTATAAAAAATCCTACTAAAAATATGGTAATTACAATATTCATAAAATAATAAATTACAATAATAAAAACACTACATATTCTTAAAATATGGCAATTAAAAGTCTAAATTCAGGAAACATTAACTTAGTTTCGAAATATGAAAAATAAAAATTCAATAACTTCATTTTAAAAATAATATTAGAACAAATTTTTCTAAACAATATGATAATTAAAAAATTTAAAATAATAACCGAAAATCTAAATTAATATATTTTAAAAATCTAATATACTTCACAAATTTAAATTAACAAAAAATTAAAAATAAAATAATTCGCCGGCGACGTCCCGGCAGGACGTTCGTCCGTCGCCGGCGACGTCCCGGCCGGACGTTCGTCCGTCGTTGTCGGGTTATTTGCCGACGTACCTCGTCGGAGAAAGGAGTTGTCGTCGTCGGAGGTGGCGGTCGCCGGCGGGGGTGGCGGTCGCCGGCGGGAGGTGGCGGTCGCCGGCGGCGAGTGTTGTTGGATTGTGTTTGGAAAAGTGTTTGAATGTTTTGGTCTTGGAATGTGTGAAGTAAATGTATTTAAATGTTATGGGTATTATTGTACTTTTTATAATTTAGGGCTACAAATAAAAATAATTTAGGGCTACAAATAGTACAACCCATACCCTAAACCCCTACTGGTTTGATTCATGAACATATGTTAATAAGAAAAGTTGATCTTATTAGTTATGATTTTGACTAACCGTGGTCAAATCATTAAGACTTTATACCCTAACCATATACCCTTTTTTTTTTTTTTTTTTTTTTCCAAGAAATGTCAAGAGAAAACCTATACAATCTACCCCGACCCTGCCCAACCCAATACATCAGAGAAGCCAACCCACAAAATCAAAGGCGCAAAACTCTAAAGGGGAGAGTAACAGTGCTTTCTGCGCCACTCTATGGGCAGCACTGTTAGCAGTCCGAGGAACTGCCCTAAACTCTAAAGAAAAAGAGACGGAAGAAAGGAGAAGGGAGCAATCCCGAAGCACCGGACCTCCAATGGAGTCAGAGAGAGCACCTTGACGAAGTTGCCGAATCACCACCTCTGAATCTCCTTCTAAGATGACCCGAGGCAGCACTTTGGAGACTACAAGGGCGAAGGCGTCCCTAGCTGCTAGGAGCTCCGCAAGATAGGGATCAGCAATACCGGGAAGGAGAGACCCTAAAGCCAGAGCCACATGCCCATCTGAACTGCGCACCACAAGACCAGACGAGCACCCAGAAGGACGAACAGCAGCATCAAAGTTGAACTTCACAAAGCCAACAGGAGGAGGGGACCAAGACGATAGGCGAGAACGGGAAGGCTGGGGCGGAGCAGGGACCAAAGGAAGGGAGGAAGACAGTTCGCGAACTTGGAAAAAAACACTGACGAGCGAGAGACTGGGCATGAGGCTGGACATGCTCAAAGACCACCTTATTTCTAGACTTCCAGATCCTCCATAATACACAAACGTATAGGAGAATGTGGGTTTGGGGGTGCTCAGAAAGCATAACATGTCGCCACCAGAGACTGAAATTCACAGTCGGGGCCGAGGAGATGAAATCATTTAGTCCCATGAGCGACCACAATCTTGTGGCCAAGGGACATTTGAAGAACAGATGTTCAAGACTTTCCGGTCTTCTCCAGCAAACCGGGCAGCGAACTAGACAGTTTACTCCTCTGGTACTTTGAAAACCATAAATTAATTAATTCTAAAAGTCAAAAATTAATTATGACCGTCAGAGGTTAATTCATTCTATCCCTTAATTTGGTATATAAACCAACCATAAAGGTTGTAAAGTGCCATAAAAGGACCGCTTTAGTGACTCATTAATCACTTGTAACGGATCATTAAGGACCCAATAACATCAAATAAAATAACTGATGTATTAAAACCCAAATAAATGGACCAATGAGGCCATTAATTGGTTATTTACTTCTCGCCGGAGGAAAATTGATTGCATGGACCGCCGGACCAACAAAGTCACCGGAGGCAAGTGTTTCCAGTCGTTGGAGGAGCTTCACAGCTGGCCGGGATTCCAAACTTGCAAACAAACAGAAACGAAGCGTCTTGACAGCACTCGTCTGGGTTCCAGCTGGAGAATCCGAACCCGTAATCGTCGCCCGACCCGACCGCGCCGGTGAAAAAAAAACCCCGCCGATGAAATCCTGGCCCAGGAGCCCCTCCACCGCCAGATTGGTCTCGTCGAAGATGTCACGCATCGAGCTCTTGAAATCGTAGGCCTCGTCGGCGAAGAGGAGAGGAGCTTGTGCCACTGATACTTTGAACACCATAAATTAATTAATTCTGAAAGTCAGAAATTAATTATGGACGTCAGAATTTAATTCTTTCTATCCCATAATTTGAGATATAAACCAACCATAAAGGTTGTAAAGCGCCATAAAAGGACCGCTTTAGTGACTCATTAATCACTTGTAACGGATCATTAAAGACCCAATAACATCAAATAACACATAGGTATTAAAACCCAAATAAACGGACCAATGAGGCCATTAATTGGATATTTACTTCTCGCCGGAGGAAAATTGATTGCAGGACCGCCGGACCAACAACGAAGGAGATATGGTTCGGCTGGTGGAACGGCCACGCGCACTGGCCAGGGCACTGGCTCACCGCGTTCCCAACCCACGCGTACGCGAATTTTCCTCCTGACTTGGCGCTGCCCGAGCCGTGGGTCCCGCAGCGGCTGCAGAAACCGTCGACCGCCACGTCAGCGGAGGTGAGGACCACGTTGATTTGATTTTTCCCGTGTCCCGCTCGCGACGCGAGCGCCGCGAGTTGCGCGCTGGAGAGGCGCTTCCCGAGGGAGCACTTGTCGTCGACGAGCTGGCGGCCGACGAGGAGGTTGCAGGGGCCGCCGCGGTACCTGGCGGTGGTGAGCCACCAGGAGGCGACGGACGGGGAGGAGGAGGACGATTTGGAGGAAGAGGTGAGGGAGCGGAGGAAGTCGACAACGACGGCGTGCTGGGAGGCGGAGAAGGCGCCGTACCAGATGAGATTGACGGTGGTGTTGCCCTTGAGGAGGGGGCCGTTGTGGTATTTGAGGAGGAGGGGCTGCTCCTGGACCAAGGCGGTGAGCTTTCTGGTGGTGGCGAGGGAAGGTTGGAGTGTGGAGAGGAGGAGGAGGAGGAGGAGGGAGGAGAGGATTGTGAGGTAGCCGGCGTTTTCTACGAGTTGGAATACACAATCACCGATTCCAAATCGTTTTCCCTAGTCTACTTTGTTATAATATGGAAGTGTTTGTACATGATAACTCTTTTTTTTTTGGTAGAAGCGTGATAACTTATTTACCCTAACCATATACCCTATAAGCCGACTCTATAACCTATACCCTAAACCCCTAATGATTTGAATTCTGATTGATGAACATGTGTTAATAAGAAAAGTTGATCTTATTAGTTATGATTTTGACTAATAATTGTTAAACCATTAATACCTTATACCCTAACCCATTAGACTAACCATATACCCTATACATCGACTCTATAGTCTATATACCCTAAACTCCTAATGATTTGATTCATGAACACGTGTAATAAAAAACTTGATCCTTATTAGTTCTAAGTTATTATTTTGAGTTTTTGACTAATCGTGCCTAAAATTTTAATACCTTATATCCTAACCATTACACTCATTATATACCCTATACACCAACTAAAATAAGCAAGTAGTTATGTGTACTAAAATAAGCAACTTAAATCTTATAATTATCTTATTATGCTAAATTAATATTTTATAATGTTATGCGCACTGTTAGGTTGATGATGTATCTAAATAAATATTTGATGTTATTATATGCGTTGATAGGTTGATGATGTATATTATTATACTAAGTTAATAATTGATGATGTAATGATCAGATTTTAGTGAACTAGAATTTCAAATGTCAACTTTTGGTTTATCTTCATCGAATTCCTTCTATTATAGTCGGGCTGCGGGTTGGTCGGGTTACGGGTTAGTCGGGTTGCGGGTTGGTCGGGTTGCGGGTTAATCGGGTTGCGGGTTGGTCGGGTTGCAGGTTGATCGGGTTGCGGGTTGATCGGGTTGCGGGTCGGTCGGGTTGCGGGTTGGTCGGGTTGCGGGTCGATTGGGTTGCGGGTCGGGCGGGTTACGGGTCATTGACTTTTAGTCAAATCGGGTTGCGGGCGGGTTGTGGGTCGGGTTGATTGGGCGGGTTTCTCGGGTCGGGTTAGCTTTTGACAGCTCTACTGATAGGAGCCTCTAAAACTTGGCTTGGTGACGGGCTTTTTTCCTTGGGCCGAAGTTGGACGGAAGCTCCCGATCTAAAAAGTTCGACAGATTTGATGTTGGTCGTAGTCGTACTTCATGACGAGACCGGATCCTATCAGTAACCGACCTATCAGTAACGGTCAGTAACCGTTGATCCGGCCGTCCATCGCGCCATCTTCCCAGCCGTCAGATCATGCCAGTTAAAATACACGCGGGGGCAAAAACGTAATCACGTCTCTGACAATTTGAATTGCAGACGTGACGGCGACAACCGTCCCGCCTTCTCTCCTTCTTCCTCTCACCTTTCAAGCGACAGTTCCACTTCCCTCTCTGCTCTCTAACTCTCCATTCTTCCTCCCGATTCTCAATTCTCTCACCAAAATCGCAGCAAAAATCGTTTTCGCACAAAATATCAAGGTAAAACCTCACTTCTTTCTTCGAAATCCATCCACAGAACAATAGAACAGTATCGCAGTCACTCTCCATGCGTTGCTGAACTGATGTAGAATCTGTTGTGTTTTGCTTCATTACCATATGGTAATGTGTGGTAAATTAAGATTGCATGTTCTAAAATAACAAAAAACCATAAGTCCTGCTGTGTTTTGCTTCGTTACCATATGGTAATATGTGGTAAGTTATGATTGCATGTTGTAAAATAGCAAAAAACCATAAGTCCTGCTGTGTTTTAGTTTGTTACCATATGGTAATGTGTGGTAAATTATGATTGCATGTTGTAAATAAGCAAAAAACCATAAGTCCTGCTGTGTTTTAGTTTGTTACCATATGGTAATGTATGGTAAATTATGGTTTCATGTTGTAAATAAGCAAAAAACCATAAGTCCTGCTGTGTTTTAGTTTGTTACCATATGGTAATGTGTGGTAAACTATGGTTTCATGTTGTAAAATGTTGTAAAATAGCAAAAAACCATAAGTCCTGCTGTGTTTTAGTTTGTTACCATATGGTAATGTGTGGTAAACTATGGTTTCATGTTGTAAATAAGCAAAAAACCATAAGTCCTGCTGTGTTTTAGTTTATTACCATATGCCACATGGTAATGTGTGGTAAACTATGGTTTCATGTTATAAAATAGCAAAAAACCATAAGTCCTGTTGTGTTTTAGTTTGTTACCATATGGTAATTTGTGGTAAACTATGGTTCCATGTTGTAAAATAGCAAAAAAAAACCATAAGTCCTGCTGTGTTTTAGTTTATTACAATATGGTAATGTGTGGTAAGCTATGGTTTCATGTTGTAAAATAGCAAAAAACCATAAGTCCTGCTGTGTTTTAGTTTGTTACCATATGGTAATGTGTGGTAAGCTATGGTTTCATGCTATAAAAATGGAGGAAAACATACGTCCTGTTGTGTTTTACTTCGTTACAATATGGTAATATGTTATAAGACATGGTTTGATGTAATTACCATATGGTAAAATGAGATAAATATATGGTTTGATTTGGTATGGTAGGAAACCATTATGGTACCATATGGTATATCATGGTAAAAAGCACGCTAACAGAATATTCCTAATTTCTACATTTAGGTACACTATGGTAAAGCAAAGAAAATTTTTTCGCACAAGGTGCAGCCCAACAAGAATATCTGCAATTGCAAGGACTATAAAAGATGACCAGAAAGAGAAACTTGAGATATTAGGCCTAGCAGGCTTAATATCAATCAAGCAGACAAAGATAAACAACCATTTTGCACTGTTCGTAATGAACAAATACAATCCAATGAAACAATCTTTCAAGCTACCTGACGGGACACACATGAAGATATCACCAATCGACTTTCATAGGGTATATGGTCTGCCAATGGGGAATAGGGAAGTTGTACCTCCCACGATTTCTTGGGACGACGCAGCAGATTATGCAGTAGAAACCCTACTGGAAGTAGATGGAAAATCCACTCCAAGGGTAAAGCTAAGTCAGGTAGAAAAAGATCTTTCTACAGTTACCAACAGTAAGAGATGGTTACAATTGTTCTTTCTGCTGGTCACCGGAGGCTTGCTGTGCCCAACTTCAGCCCCTATGGTTGAACTCAACATGCTTGAGTACTTGAAGACTGATGAACAGAAACATTTCACCAGCTACAACTGGTGCAAATACTTCTTCAACCACATGAATGAAGGATTGAAATCACCAAAGCTCTACGTCAATGCAGATCTTCACTTCCTTACAGTAAGTCTCCATTCCCTTGGCCATTTCAACCTTGTTACTCATATATTTTATATATAAATGATACTCTTTGAAAAAACTAATACAACTATCTGCATAAAAAGGTATGCTTTATGTACAAACTGGACGAAATGGCATTCTCAACCCAGCTTCGAACACCAACAGTAAGCTACTATGATGATAACAATGTTGATAGCAACTTTGAGAACATTAAGAGCTACTACAATGGAAAAGAGTTGAACGAGATCGAAAAGGTTGCCAACATTAGAGACGATGAGGCTGATGATGAGGCTGATGACGCAGCTGATGAGGAAGAGGAGAATGAGCCAGTCTATGAATCACCGAAAAGACAAAGAAACAAAAGTCCAAAGCAGTCATCATCACTGAACTTTGATTTGAAGAATATCAGAACAGTCAACCAAGTAAGTACAAATTATCTATATTACAGTTGTCCAATTCAAATTATCTATATTACAGTTGTCCAATACATGCTAAGCGTAAGTCCTTCTGTGTTTTAGTTTGTTACCATATGGTAAAGTGTGGTAAGCTATGGTTTCATGTTATAAAAATGGAGCAAAACATAAGTCCTGTTGTGGTTTACTTCGTTACCATATGGTAATGTGTGGTAAGCAATGGTTTCATGTTATAAAAATGGAGGAAACCATAATTCTTGTTCTGTTTTACTTTATTACCATATGGTAATGTGTGGTAAGCTATGCTTTCATGTTTTAAAAATAGCAAAAAACAACAAGTCCTGCTGTGTTTTAGTTTGTTACCATATGGTAAGGTGTGGTAATCTACGATTTCATGTTATAAAAATGGAGGAAAACATAAGTCCTGTTGTGTTTTAATACGTTACCATATGGTAATGTGTGGTAAGCAATGAATTCATGTTATAAAAATGGAGGAAACCATAATTCTTGTTCTGTTTTACTTTGTTACCATATGGTAAGGTGTGGTAAGATATAGTTTCATGTTATAAAAATGCAGAATAGTGATAATAATTGCCAATACCATGTATTACCACCATGGTAACTAACCATACTCCCATTATGCAGGCTGAGAATGCAATCAAACTGCTTGAAGCATCAATGAAGGCAATGATGAAAGCAATAAAAGACCAGTACTAAAGCCAAATTGACAATCTGATCAGACACAAGGAGAATCTTGCGAAAGAAAGCTGTGATGAATATGTTCAGCCCACAGAAGGAGAAAAATCTCAGTGTGAAGATGATGAAGAAGAGAATGATGAAGAAATGCATGCCAGTTTGAATAAAACACTAAATGAAATATTCAAACAGACAAAGATAGACCAGAACGAAGAGGAGAACGAGGAGCAAACACAGAAAGAAGATGATTCACAACCATCTACAGTCGATCTTGCTGCATCTACACCGAAGCCAAAAGAAAAGGAGCAAGATGATTCTGCTCCAGGAGCTGTGAATAGGGAAAGCATCCCAAAAGAAGGAGATCCACTGGGGGAAGTTGCAACAGAACCACCAGAATAATCTGTTCAAGAAGGTCTGAATCAGGGAACACCACAACAAGAGGACACCCAGAAAGCAGTTCCAGAACAGACATCTGCAGAAGAAACCGAAGAAAAAGGAGCTACCAAAACAGCAGATCCAATGGAAGTTGATAAGGAAACAACAGAAGAAGGGAATACAGGGCAAGCTGCACAAAAGACTGCAGAAACTGACAGCGAGAAGATGGTGTCAGATGATGTTGTTCGTGAAGAGG